AAAATTGATGATAAGGACAACGAAGAATCAGGTGGTTATGGTTATCTGAAGAAACGACTTAGACTTTTGTTGTATAAATGTCATGTCCCGCTATTAGATTTACCAACTCTAATGCCTACAACTTATTTCTTCAGCTTCATTCAAGCACTTTCCTGTTACCGTCTTTCCTTTTATACTAAATCCGTGCACTCGCGAACTTTTTTATATTTACATTTTAATCCTTTAGCACTCTTTTGGCGGAGTCGTTGTTGACTGTTGGAAACTGGCCAGAATTGTCCCTGTGCTGAAGGCAAGCATAACTCAGTAAACGTCAGCGACCTATCGCTCTTTCATCCGCTTGTTTATAATCCCTCGAATTTCACATCCACCTTTACGTGAAGGCAGCGATGCTGTGGTAGTAGAACGGCGTCATGCAACTTTTTCGTAATTCTAAACCTCTAACTAGAGAGAATTTATGAATTAAATACGATTTCACGACTCCCATTCTTTACTCGCCTCGCTCTAGGTTTATTTAAGAGAAACACGTTTCTAGCTTGGCGACTATTTAGTCGAATAAACGAATGTGTGGCGGTCTAATCTCACAGATTTAATTCTCAAGTGAACCGCGTTAATGTGCCACGGTACACCGTTTCTTCTGTTCTCGTGTTCTTGTAACTGTCGATCAGTAACTAAGCCTCCAACGTGCTTCTTGGCCATGCTGATCTCATGACAGGCATAACAGTTTTAAGTCTAAAAATTTTTTTCACTTAGTATTTACCAAAATAGTCTGTCAAATTTTGCTGAAAACCGATCTGCTGGTGGTCCCAAAAGATGTAGACACGTGTGCCATTTGAGCAACAGTACTAGCAATCCTCAATTTTCTTCCTGTTTACGTGACCTTTGCTCCCCAATGACGACTATTATATCAAGGGCTTTAAACTACAAAATGACTCGGCGCTTTTTTGTATGGAGATTTCCTTTCCGGACATATGACGTTCGAGTGCTCCTGATATTCAGGGAGCACCTGTCATTTCATTCATCAAAGTACTGCGGTGTACAGAACGAAGGTTGCATTGTGTCAGGAAATCCTGAAATTTTTGCTTTGCCTATGAGTTCCCAACTTTGTCTTATAATTTTCAGAAAACCGATCATTTCATCAGCACCGAATTCTTAGATTGATAGCGTGAAGTTGCTGCATTGGTTTTTAAACAAATACGATGCATGATTGCTGATTCAGGACCTGGTGCTGAAATTACGTATGCTCTGCCGATTCGTTGCTTAAGGGACAAAAAGCACGTTAAGGCGTTATTGCCAACTCGTTTCGTTGCGCATACCGCAGCGTGGCCAGGTCACAACTGATTATAAAACCGCTAGCCGCCTTCTATGAACTAAATATGAACTAAACTGAGTGGTAATTTGACACCTGATTCTAACTAACCGATGCATTCATCGCTTCACTGTTTAATTTCAGCTAAGCGTAACGTCATTACAACATTTGTTATCAGGTTGGTAACATTTTCCTCACTTTTATTAATCACAGCGGAAGAAAAACGTTCATCGCACATAACGATATTTCATCGCTAAAATATGTGAGGACCCTTTAATCAAAATGTCGCACTTTGATCGGCCTTTGTCAATTACAGACACTTTCATCTGATTGAAAGAATCTCTCGGAAGAGGTGTCTTGTGCAATAATACAAATCAGGCTACTCGAGGGGACTGTGATGCGTGTTTTTTAATCCCGGCATTCAATTTCCGATAGGACTTTCCGAAGTATATCTTATCATTCTCGGCATTCAACGCTGTATACCACATTCAGCGCCTCTCACGGATTGCTCAGGGCATACTTCTTGAATAAGAGCATCCAGAACCTGATGCCAGTTTTATACCAGTCTCTAAACACCATATTGTTAAAGCATTTTTAGTGGATTAGGAACGGGGGGTATATCTGAAAAAATGACCATAAAAAATGTCTTTGACGCAGCTTCATGAAGTTGCAGCTGAAGTGCTGAGCTCAGATTCCACTGTCCTCCTTGAATACTCATTTTTCAAGGGTACACGATAAGTGTTGAATTTCAGCGTCTTGGGCGGAAAGGGTGTTGCACGTTTTCTACGTGCCTAAGCGCATGTTCCTCATGGAATTTCTGAAAAGAACCAGTGGAGAATACGTT